CATTTTTGCTACTGAGAAGCTTCCCTCAGCCCACCCCAGCCAGAGCTGGTTTACTTCACCTTCCTTTTCTATCATATCACTTTATGCATGTCTCAATTATAGGATTTATCATGCTTATTGTCACTGTTGATCAATGACAAGCTCTGTCTCCTACTATACTAGTCTGTTCATCTCAGACTCATTTCTATCCCCTACTAGACTCTGAGTCCCCAGAGGGCAGGGACTGTGCCTTCGTCTTCTTCATTCCCCTAGCACCAAACACAGAGCCCAGCACGTGCTAAGATAAGGAGGCTGCATAAAGCCTTGTGTCCCACTTAAAGCTGGAAGGAGCAGGACAGAGGGGTCACAGAGAGAGGTTAAAGAAGAAAGTGAAGGGGAAGATTATGGAAATCATAGGGAGATCAAAGTAAGAGGTTAAATGAGACAGGAGGGACAGTATCCCTATGAAGCACTGGGATGGGTAAATGAAAATCTTACCCAAAACAAGTGGGGTCAATTAAGAAACCCAACACCTCTTCAGCACCTACTGTGTGTGGACAGCACTATGTTAGACACTGCAGTTACATAAAGTTCAATAAAAGCCATCTCCCTATGATTTGGTTGGAAAGATAAGACAAAGACAAAGAAACTGATAACATCCATCCATCCAAATATAAAATTTTAAAAGTTCTTAAAGTTCAGTACCATCTTCAACTTTAAGAGTTTAATATGAAGCCCCTCAGTAGTCAGTAAGATACCGTTTTAAGAAATATTAGATATGGAAACTGACTTGTCTAGCTGAGATCTCCACAAAGCTTAACAAGCCTAGACTAGAAACAACTTTCTTAGAAAATGGACTAACGTGGAAATGTGAATACTAATACCGTTGGGGAGTATTTCTCATTTACATGTGTCCCAAGTTGTACATTATGGGCCTTTTTGAAAAAGGAAAGATCAGGGCTGGAAGAGGAGGGAAGGATTCATGGAGAACCTGAAAAGAGTAGATGGAAAAAAAAAGAATCAAAAAATAGACACAGAAGAGAATTTCAGAGAAGGAATAATGAGAATACATAAGAGACATTAGGAAGAGAAAGATACTCCTATTCAGAAAACTAATTTTTGAAACTGTACATATGAATTATCTTTTTAAATGATGATGTTTAAATTCTGTTAAAATGTTTATCTGATGGCTGTAATGTAAAATGTGAGATTTTAAGACAATAAGTAGAAGGCACTTAGCTAAAGGTAGTTGAAGGGAGTCTAGAAAAGGTATTAGAAAATGAAAATGGTAAGATTATTATGTGAACAAGAGATAAGATGTATTCTGTGCACAGAGCTTTATGTCTTTTTACTGGTTCCTAAGACAGGGAATAGTAATATCCCAAGACATTATCTAGTAGCTCAACTTAATTTTTCTGTTTTGTGTCAGTGTGATACTGGGATGGCTTAGACAGTTAGTTTTTAATTTAATTTAATTAATCAAACCTTGAGTCACTACTAAGTGGTTGGCCTCAGAGGCCAGCTATGACCAATGAGCTGAGCAGGGATTGGCTGAGCACAAAATGAGCTCAACAATTGTGCATTATGTCATAGGGGGGCTGGGAGAGTATAAAAGGGGGTGCAGGAGCCCTGCCAAACTAGCTCCTCAGAAGTTTCTTAATATGTAGGCAGCAGTATGTAAGATAGGTGAGTAGAGAAGAAAGCAAGTACTCAAAGCAGGTATGGTAGTAACTGACTAAGGGTATGAGTTACTGTGAGTGAGTGCTCAGACTAATGAGCACTGATGTTAGAGAAAGAGGTATGTGTGTGGATGGGGGCTGGGGGGCTGGGGACGGTCTCATTGAATTGGGGTTGAGTTGAACCTTAGGTTGTGGGGCAGGAATTTTGAGTTTGGGGAGTGGGGAGGGAGTAGGGAACAGATGTTGTTTATTGGGGGAGATAATAATACTGGCCTATTGTGGAACAGAAAATTCACTTTGGGAAAGCTATAGGAAATAAGCTGATATATTTGGTGCAGGAGGCATTGTTTAAATGCCAAAGAAAAACATTTAAAACCTAATCTCAAAGGTTATAGAACTTAATAGGGAAGGGACACAAATCTCTAAATATTGAATGTAAAACAAGCAGCAACAATACTTAAGGTAAGTTTCTTTTGCCCTACCTTTTTGACATCAAGCATACATTTTAGTGATCAGAAAGAGGGAAAAAGTAAGAGGTTGAACCAGAAAAATTATTGAATTCTCTACTTCGCCGTTCTGGAACCGGGGGCAGGGTGACTTCCTAAGTGATTTGGGCTATTGAGTGAAGGCAAAAGTAAAATTTAACAAAAATCCCCAAGCACAAGGCAGAATTGGGGAAACCATTGAGATTCTTGTGCTTCAGGGGCTCCAAAGAGCCCTTGTTTGTGGCTAAATGTCTGAGAACAGCTGTCTCGGCTGAGGTTATTCCCAGCCAAGACAGCTGTTTGTCCAGAGGCGGCCATGTCTCATCACAGAGTGGGCCCCATTTCTCATGTGGGAAACAGAAGTTGCCAGGGCTTCGTCCCAGGCCAGTTACTTAGCCTCTCTAAACCTGTCTCCTCCTCTGTGAAATGTGGCAGTGGCAGTCTCCACCTCACAATAAGGGCTTTTGTGATGTATGCATGAGGTAACACATGTCGTGTTGCTTAGCAACAGTGGTTGGTACCTAGTCACTGCTCAATATTATAGTCAATATGAATACTTTAAAGAATAAATCTATCTTATGACCTAGAGAATCACTTCTTACACTGCTTAGATGGGATTAGATACCACTTTGTCTGGGTTTGGACCCAGACCCAGGCCTAAATTTGAACTGAACTGAACTTCTGGGTTTGGTGGCATGGCAACGGGGGAGGGGGGAGGTGGAGCAGGCTGGGAGGCACTGGTGCAAGGTGTTGCGGCCATAGGAATATTAAGTTCCATGTCAGCTTTTGGTTTAATTTGGCACTGACTGTTATTCAAACAAAGCAGCGTTGTGAGTGGCAGAGGAAGGGAGAGGAGGAAAATCAACACATTCTTGGAAATAAGATGTGGCTTTCGCTTTGACTGTTTTTTTTTCTTCAGACACAAATATTTATTTGCTCTCAGGCTCACAATGAAAATCCCTTTCAGGACATGGTACAAACCTAAGCTTCAGAGGAAACTTCCATTTAAGGTGACAAGAAGTTAGTAAGACTTCCGTCGATAGTTTTTTGTTCTAATACAAGAACCCCTCAGGTAGCAATGTGTAGCCAAGGGAGATAGCCTGGTGTATACTCAGAGCCCCTCAACCTCAGTTCCCGTAGCCATGGCACAAGTGGCACTTTAAAAGTCAATGTCTGCTGTATTTCCTGATGACCTTGCTGTTTATGAGGTATACAGAAGTATCATTTACCCATTTCCAGGTATTTATGTGCTAGGCTTTTCTAATTTTAGGATAAAATTTTAGTATAAAGTGTGGCAGTGTGATAATTCTCCAAGAGTTGCTCTCTTGGACCTCAGACATCTGGCATGGTGTTACAGGAGCTGGTCCTAGGTCAATATTTGAAGCACAGGGAAGTTCTGTGTGACCAAGTCAATGGAACTTTCCTGTTTTCTGGTTCTGTGGTATATACTGAAAGCAAGGTTTCAGGCAAAAAAGTTTAGGCAGCCACCTCCTTTTCCCTAGTGCAGGACTTTTTGCAATAGCAATACAGTAAATGCCCATTTGTGATGTTATGCTTGTGTCAATGATGATGTAATGGGTTGGGTAGGGAACTGATACTGTCTTCAATTAGAGGGATTACTACCACTCTGGAAATAACACACACACATTTGACACTCAGTCTCTTCTCTCAGAGAGCTTATACTTTAGTTGAGAAACCAAACCTTAATTGTTGAAAAAGACATCCCTATCCTGAGGTTCTCGTGAGAAGTTAAATGACCTATTTAAATTGAGGGCAATTTGAATGGCTCATTTGGTCACTCGTGAAGCCTAAATGGTGCTAGAAAGCAGGAAACAATGGGCTCATTTCTTTTTTCCCCTTTAATGAGAGACATGGAATCAACCTATTGTATCTATAGCTCAAATGTATGCACTTATTCCTGTGGGCTGGGTACATAAATCCTTTGTCTATACATCCTTTATGAAATAGAGACATCCCTTTTTTTATAGATGAATCAAAGAACTTTAACCTAGTTGGCTCTGCTGATTTGCATAATCCAAGTTTTCTAGGCCTCTCAACTATCTGGAGACCAGTTTTTACACTTAGTCAAGCCTCAAACAAAACAAAAAGAACGTTTTATTACTAGTGTTTAGGAGACTGTGAAAGGGCTGGGTTTTTCTTTTTTTAATTCAATTCTAGCACAAAGGTTGACTCAGGCTGTCTGTGGACATATGGGACAGGAAACTTTCTGATGATTCATTCCTATTCAGTTTAACTCCTTAGGAACACATAGTCTCAAGTTCTAGGACTTGAATTCTCTCCTACCTTTGGAATTCTGTCAACAAGTGATTATTTCCCATAATCCATTCATTCTTATACCCCCTTCCCACCGCATAAAACAATGTTCAAAACTGAGAAGCACAAAATAAGTGAGGGGGAAAAAATCAGCGTAATTTCACCACTCACGTAAAGTGCACTTGGGTTTTTGTCTGAGAACATGTGACTGCACGTATCGTTTAGCAACCCGCTTCTCTTACTCTTTGGGAAGATATTTCTTGTGAGTATTTTGTGATGTCATAAAATATTTTTAGGTCACTCTTAACCTCCTTATATTTCTTTTTTTCCCTCTAGGGCACTAAGGGCCGTCGAGGCCGAATCTCAGCGCTGCTGGCGCTGCTGATGATAGAAACATAATATGATAAGTTATAAGGGCAGGGGGAGGGTTAAGGGGCGGGAAAGATTCCTTCAGCCTAAAAATTAAGCAAGCTCCGTTTGAAGACCCAAGAAATTTCCGACACTACAACCTTTGTATATAGTTTTCGGTAACCTTCGGCAGGGGGCGCTCGGAAATTGTCGTTCCTTTCCGGACGGCCTCCCGGACTTTACCCTCTAGAAAACTACGGTGTTTCCGGCTCTTCTCAGTTGCAGACGCTCGTAACTTTTCGGCAGTTTCCGGGGAGATTCGGGGACTCCGCGCCTCGCTCGCTCTGTTCCGATCGCCTGGCGCGGCGGGGCAGGGTCTTGGGCTAGTCATGGCGTCCCCATCTCGGAGGCTGCAGACCAAGCCGGTGATCACATGTTTCAAGAGCGTCCTTTTGATCTACACATTCATCTTCTGGGTGAGAGACGGAGACGCCCGGGGATGGGAGGGGATTGTGGGCTTGGGTCGGTGGGGTTGGTGTGACCCCGAGCGGAGGGAGCTCGGATCGCGGGTGGAGGAGGGGCGGGGGTGGGGTGGGGGTGGGGGTGGCGGTCGCAGCTAGGACCCCGGCGCTGTAGACGAATTGCTGGGGCTCGAACTCGGGCATCTCGCCCGCACCAGGGTCGGGATGTCGGGCAACGGCAGCCGAGAAGCTGAGCCGCGACCCAGACGTGCCTCGCATGCGAATTCGTGCGGGGGGCGAGGAAGGGAGTTAACCCCCACCCCGCTCCCCCACGCCCAGAGAGTGTCCCTGGCCCATTCAGGGGCAAAGCTTGCCCAGCCCCTGGGGGAGCTTGCTTGCATAATAGTCTCTTTCTTTTCACTGCTTCATAGGAGGTATGAAGTATTTCGCAGGTAAGTATGGTAATGGCTGCACTCCCGCCAATCTATCCTTGGACTTTCTTTGTGTACCATCCCTTTGTACCCTGTGCTCATCCCTGAACTGGGGAGGAAGGGGAAAGTTTCTGGAACTCCTAGAAACATTCCAACCCCGCCCCCACCCCCACCCCCACCCTCTCGCCCATTCCCCGCTCCATCTCTGGGAGAGTTTTCTTTCTAAGGCGGGAGTAAAACAGTTAAGTAAGTTTTCAGCCCTAGGGCAAAAAAAAAAATCAGATTAAGAATTTTCTCAAGATGCTCTCTTTAGCTGCCCCCCTGGTTTTGTCCTGGTTACCTGGGCTACCTAGTGATCCAGCGTGTGGATTGATCAAGGCCTGTCCTTCTGTGCAGCTCTCCATCCTAACCCCCTGTGTCTTGTCTGCCACATCCCGGCCAGAGCACTGGCCACAGGCGGCTTAATCAATTCTCACATCTATTGTTTCTTAAACACCTAGTGGTTTGTGGTTTGAAGATGCTGCTGTATACAGCGAGTAACTTTCTATTCTCTGACTTCCCACGTAGATCACTGGCGTTATCCTTCTTGCCGTTGGCATTTGGGGGAAGGTGAGCCTAGAGAATTATTTCTCGCTTTTAAATGAGAAGGCCACCAATGTCCCCTTCGTGCTCATCGGCACTGGCACTGTCATTATTCTTTTGGGCACCTTCGGCTGTTTTGCTACCTGCCGAGCTTCTGCATGGATGCTAAAACTGGTGAGTTCTTGTTTTCCTAGAATTGGTTGTTGGTTTTTGAACCAGGCTTATGTGCTGTAAGCTTTGTTTCTTGGAGCTAGATGTGGCCTTTTTTGATTTTTCCTCTTCCCTATGAAAACTTACCTTAGCTGCCAGTTTCCACATTTGTTGTATTTTCCCTGCCCTTTTCAATAAAAACATGCTGAACTGATTGAGCAGACAATTTTTTTTTCTTTGACTCCCTTTGCAGCTGTGATGTATCTTATTTGCTGACTTGGACTTTTTTTTTAATCCCACAGTATGCAATGTTTTTGACTCTCATTTTTTTGGTCGAACTGGTCGCTGCCATCGTAGGATTTGTTTTCAGACATGAGGTAAGCCTGAGTTTGGGAACTCAGTAGCTGACAGTAACGGCTTTCTTGTAAAAAATTAAGTCTAGCCCACTTTTTTGATGAAGACTGATAATCACCCAAGAAAATGAAAGGTACCCATAATTACATGTATTTCCAGTCATTTTTCTGTGTGTAAGTACCTAAAATGGACATAGTACAACTTATTTAAAGCATGAAATTGATAATACAAAATGGATATACTTAATGCAAATCATTAATATTGAATTAGCAATCAGGATTACTCTCTGCTGACCCTGGGGTTAGGAAGTTATTCAGTGAGGACTGAAGGTCATCTATAGCAGTGTTTCACTAAGTGGTAGTGCAGTCTCCCAGAGTATGATTTTGTAGCTTAAAAATTCCATGGAAGTCAAATGTGTACTCACTTTAAAGTGGAGAAAGATATTGGGGGTGGGAGGGGATGCAGCAGTACAGAGCTGCCACTTTAATAAATACATGCTCCTATAGCACTTTGAACTTTAGTGGCTATCATCTTTTACTGGAATGTTTTGCTTAGTCGTCCCCTTAGCTAAACTCTTATCACCTAGAGGACAGGATTGGACCTTAGAAACGTTGCTGTTGTCAAAGATATGACCATTGGTCAGATGTGGGAATTTCTTATTTGACCTAGAAACAAAAAGAACACTCTAGAATCTTTGTTTATTAGCCTTGTGTTTCTTTGCTGTAGATTAAGAACAGCTTTAAGAATAATTATGAGAAAGCTTTAAAGCAGTATAACGTTACGGGAGATTATAGAAGTGATGCAGTAGACAAGATTCAAAATACGGTAAGTGGTCATAGGTGGTAAGTGGTTGTTGTTGGTGGCTTCTCAAGAGGGGAACATCTGCCTACTGTTAGTACCAATGGAAAGTAAGGCCAGTCCAAAGATGTCACTCTTGATGTTAGAAACAAGCGTTCATTTCTTGAATTATAATGCCAATAGAGATCATTGAGTATAATAAGATGATGGTTTAACTGTTTGACTACAAAGTTGTAATTATAAATGCTTTGGTTGGATTTTTTTTTCAGTTACATTGTTGTGGTGTCACCGACTATAGAGATTGGAAGAATACTAATTATTACTTAGAAAAAGGATTTCCCAAGAGCTGCTGTAAACTTAAAGATTGTTCTCCTCAGAGAGATGCAGATAAAGTCAACAATGAAGTAAGGAGGAAAAAAAATTTTAAATTTTTACTCACAATACACTTAATTGGAAATGAAGCAGGGCAGGTGTTATTTTCATTGAATAAATGAGGAAACTGAAGCTCAGAAAATTTGTGACTTGAGTTTCCACAGCTAGCAAGTAACACTTAAATGCATAATCCAAAAGGTTGAACTTCTGTTCCTCAAACTTCTTTCAAGAGCACTGTGCAAGGAGACAGGAATTGTTATATGAAAGAGTAAAAAGTTAATAAAAGAAAGATAACATAAAAACTAAGAACTAAGACAAAAAACTTGATGTTTTTGTAAATTTCTCTTCCATTAGGGTTGTTTTATAAAGGTGATGACCATTATAGAGTCAGAAATGGGAGTCGTCGCAGGAATTTCCTTTGGAGTGGCTTGTTTTCAGGTAAGTCCTTGTGGTTCGGAAATGTTTCATCACTCTTATAGGTGTAAGCTACAAGATTTCCACTTTGAAGGCTTCCACATTTTCACAGAACTCTCAGTAGCTCATCACAGTATAGAAATTTTTGCTATTTTCATTCCAATTTTTTATCTTGGATCTTACATTTTCCACAACTACAGAGTGCTCTAAGACCTGGTGCCCTCTTAGGTATATTTCTGAATCTGCACTGTCTAATAAAATAGCCACTAGCCACCTTTCAGAAATTATAATTATTAAATTAGAATCTTGGCTCCTCAGTTACCTCAGTCCCATTCGAAGTGCCCAGAAGCCATATGTGGCTAGTGGCCCCTGTGTTGGACAGCACAGGTGTTATGGAGTGTTTTCATCATTACAGCACTGCTCTAGGTTGTCCAAGAGAATGTCTGCTTTCATAGTCGGAGATTTTACTTCACTTCTATGCTTTGCATATGATCTAGGTGCTGCAGAGTAGCAAATATTGCTGTCTAGAAAAAACTTAAGGGAGGAAATTAGCAGTGAGGTATGTGTGTGTAATTTTGCTTGCATTTTATTTCCAGCTGATTGGAATCTTTCTAGCCTACTGCCTCTCTCGCGCCATAACAAATAACCAGTATGAGATAGTGTAACCAACATAACACGGGCCAATTCCTCTACAATGTTAAGGTACGTTCATTTTGGTCCTTAACTCTGTCAGTGTTGGTGTTTACTTCAGCTTGTACACATGATTCATGTACTGAGTTTGCCAAGGTGTCACGTCCAGTAGTGCATCCAAATATTGTTGGTACTGTGTCAGCACTGCATAGGCACATCAGGCCTCAAAATACAGGTCATGGCCAAAAGGGACAGAAGGGCCTCTCTGGGTTTACCTACCTGTGTCGGCCTAAAGATCCTAAGTGGTCCCCTTTCTAACAAATTTAGACCTAGAGCCATAAACATGGTAAGAGGTGAGAACTGAGCCACTGACCAGGAACACGTGAAGATCTTTATTAGCAGAATAGATTAGAATGTGTGCAAATGAATCCAGATATTGAAATTTGGGTTACAAGTAAATCTTTCTTTCATTTTAGGACATTGACACCCCCCCCCCAACCCTGTAACTTACAAAATCGCCTGGCTGGAATCCTGAATTCTCCTACCAATAGTTTGAAAAGTCGCACCAGTAGCCTGATTCGATCAAGACATTAGCCTCATGTTATAGTCCACCTTTTGTCCCATTCATGTTAGATCATTGAAATCCCCATACCACTCTGAAACACTGGAAGAGCTTAATAAATTGTAAATGAAGCAATACTGTGTTCCTCTTGACTTTTTTTTTCTATGTGGGGCCCTTGAAAGGCACTGTGATGTAATGTGTTTGAAAATTGATCCCTCCAAACTGGCCCTTTCCCAGCCTAGGTTATCTGGTTTGATTGTATAATTTGCATCAAGAAGTTAAAATGTTTTCATTCGTCCCTGTTCTGCTGATAAACAGAGTCACATTGTGTCATTTAATTCCAGCCAGTAGTTGGATAACACCCAAGATGGTAACCATCTCTGATCTCTAAGGCACCCAAGACTGAAAGGCATAACCAGTCCTCTATGATACATACCACAGGCTACAACACAGTGAACACTTTACATTTCTTTGCCTCCAAAATAAGGTGTTTATCGATGTTTATATTTTCCCTATTGTTTGAAATGTTCTAATTACTAATGGTGTCAGTCATTGTATTTTCCTTAGGAATTTGAAGCAACTCCTTTATTAGCTTTAGCTGGTCTTTCTTTACCAGGTTGCTATGACTTAATTGTCATTATTAAGGTTAACTTTCATAGTCTTAGTTTTGCTTTGTGCCTTTGATTAATAAATATAAACCTTTTACACAATAAATAGTGTTTTATTGTAAATTATGTTTAAATTGTAGGAAATCTGTTGGGTGGTTGTTTTCCACTGAGAAAGCTAAGCCCCACATTTCTACTTGGAGTACAGTTGTAGATACGAAATGTAAAACTGAGGTCTTGGCTCTGATTTTAAAAAAAGTCCCTGTTTACAAAAATTGTTCCCTGTGAAAGGATGACATTCCTTGCTATGAAATAAGCACATGCTTAGCATTCTCCTGGAGACCAGACATTTTTGATTGTAATACTTTAAGAAGTTGAATAAGGAGAGATGTATGTAACCTGTACCTTCAGGGTTATAAGGAAATTAATAAAGTTCAAGTTGAAATGGAGGAATCCTTTGGTTTTGGGTTTCTTTATGTATCCATCAGTAGAATGTAGTTCATCTCTCACATCCTCAGTCCTTGAATTTTGGTAAAGGGGAAAGGAGAGTGGACAAAAACTACTAGTTAAATAAGATTAATAATGAATTTTGAGTTACATGTTTTAAAATACTTGGAGGTACTGCAGAGAAAGGATATTCTCCATTAAAACATTTGATGAGTGAGTCTTGACATAAAGTATAGCGATAAAACAATTGAAAAAGAGTGGCTTTCCAAATGTGGAGAATCAAGAGTTATTGGAATTAGTGAAGCTAAAGAAGGATTTAAAGGCTAATCAGAACAATTTTCAAATAGGTAGTTTTCACTAGGGTGGCCTAGAAGAATCTTAAATTTTTCTTTAGTTTTTAAAAAAGTTAAAAGTTTTTCCTCGTTATTAAAAAGAAAAAAAAACAGGAAATATGGGAAGTAGGAAGAGAAAAAACACCACGCGTCGCCCTTAAGGTGGGTCTGTGTATTTACTTTTAAGGGGGGTTTACTTTGGATGGCCTGTTACAAAAGTCCCTTCTAGCTAAGGTGTGCGTGTGCACATTGGACTGTAAAATTCATCACCACCTTCGCGATGTGCCAAAGCTGCCTTGCGGGCTGTCTCACTTCCAGGCACAGGGCTGCCCACTGCACGGCGGCTCTGAGCTCCGCAGAGCTCCATGCGTGTATTTTCTGAAAGTGTGGAAAGCTTGGCAGCTTTGGCCTATTCCTGTGAGGGGTTGGGTTTTTATGTTGTAGCATCAAACTTTTATGGAAAATAAGTCCCTAATACAAGGCGTAAATGCCATTTCTGTTTTTCCTCAGAGCTCACACAAGATTCTTTCAGACTTGATGTTTTTAACCTCCTGTCAGAATCCAAGTTGGTACTTTGCCAGCGATGCAAAATTTATTTTAATAAAAACTGACTAAAATATGAGAGGCAAAGCCATATATGCATTTGTGTGTGTGTGAAACTGAGGAAACTTTTGTTTGTATTATAGCAAAAAACTAACACAAGTTGTAACTACCGTTCCTCACAGCATACATAAGCTACACTGAGATTTGATTTTGTTGTGTTTTGTTTTTTGCCTTTCAAGGTTGACACTTTAGGGGAGGGTCTAGCTCAGTGGTAGAGCGCATGCTTAGCATGCACAAGGTCCTGGGTTCAATCCCCAGTATCTCCACACACACACAAAAATCAATTAAAAAATACACAAATAAACCTAACTACCTCCCCCTACAAAACAAATAAAAAACAAAAACAAGGTTGACACTCTGCCTGTGTTGTGGCAAACCAAACTTTTTTAATTCAAAAAGGAAAATAAAAGGCCCTAAAGAATACACAAATTGAAACAGTTTCAGGGAAATGAGACTTTCATTTTTGAGCCGTGGGCCTAAGACTTCACCCAGATTCCTTGTGAGAGAGAAGCCGTTGTGATTTAATGATGGCTTTCTGTTAGATGCCCCTACCCCGTGGAGCTTAGTAGTTTAGGCCCTTGTAAGAGCATAGCAAATGCTAATGAAATGAATGAGTGAGTGAATCTAATTATAATAGCTTCTTAATGTTCTGTGTGAAATAAGTTGTTGATCTCCATAGCTCATTCCATACAAGCCACTGTTTATATAACAGAAACCACCTGCCCAGTCAGAAACCACTTAACCTCAGAAACCACTGCTAACTTCCTCCTGGACAAATCACTTTTGGCTGCTTCTCTTTTTTGAGCTCCTTGCTACATATGATGCTACTGAAGATTCTTGGTTTTTGTTTTGACCTTGTAATATCCTGCTTTTCTTCCCTTTTACTGCTCTTTCTCATTTATTTTGCTGTTTTAATTGCCTCTTACTTTTCAAGCGTGGCGACTCCCGAAGGTTGGCGTTTGGCTTTCTGCTCTTAGGTTAGGCTGACCTTGGAGGAACTGAATGTAGGTGATCATCAGGCTTAACGACCAGTTCTCTGGGTGCGCAGCTGAGTTCTGTGTTGGTAATTGTGGCTTGCTTGTATCCCCCTCCAGCACCCCAAAGCTTAACATTCTGAGCACTTAAAAATTCCAAACCCCTCCTATAACATAGTCCATGGATAGTAGGCACATTTGATGTTCAATGAACTGGTTCCCCAGTGGGAATTGGGGAAAACAGGCCAGGTGCTCTGAGAGTTTATCATAGATTCTGTTATCGGGCAAACACGAGTTCTTTGGGTAGGACTGTCATACTTGATCTGATGGTGCTCTCATTACCACATCCTCAAAGTTTTTATTAAAAAAAAATTGAAGTAGTGACTTGTAAAGACGTCGCTTTTCCAACAAATTTCTCACCACCTTTGCTGGGAAATGATAATCCTGGGAGCAACATCCTCAAAGCAAATCAAATTGGCATGGTGTTTGCCTGGATGATCAGCTCACAGATGGGTGTACACAGCACAGGTAATACAACCACTCAGCATCATCACTGGAAAGGCAGAGTAGCTTTATGTACACAGAGCAACACACATGGGGTACGGTATATGATTTTGAGAGGTGAGGGACGGCATCCATACATTTTCACTCTTAAGTGCATGTCATGACCTCCCTTAGCAGGAAAATGGCATCTAAGAGAAAGTAGACCTTTTGCAAAGAATTATTTTTCCTACTCAGTTTCTCTCCCCTCCCCCTGCGCCCAGGGAAGGTAAGAAAACTAAAGTTCACTAAGTACTTAGTAACGGCTGGACATCGTGTAAGGTGCTTCAATCCACTACCCTGTGCAAGGAGGCAGAGCTAGCCTCATTTTCTCAGAAAAACCACCAGAAAGCTGAAGTTTAAGTTAAATAACTTGTCCAAGCTCACACAGCTAGTAAGTAGCAGATCTAGGATTTGAAATTCAGTCTGTCTGACTCTGAAGCCCATGCTTCTTTCTTTGAATTTTGCTGCATCTTAATAACAAAAAGGCTCTGGAGATTATGTGACCCTGGTCTGTGGCCAGAGAACAGGAATAAGAAAAAAAAATTCTGTCTTTATTGAATAGAAATCTTTGAAAAGAAAGCCCTGATGAAAAAGAGTATCCTATTTTCTCACAATATGCTCTTGTAGGGTGTTAGTATACAATTAGTGCATAATAAAAACAAACACATCTGTTGTTACTACCTGCCTCCACAATATTATTGAACTAAAAAAAATGATGACAAAGAGTCACAGTCTAAGCATTAACTCCTCCCATTTTCTTGTAAGCATCTTGTCACAGGGTCAAAGGCTCCCTAAAATCCATAAGCTAATAGTTCCTATGTTAGTAAAGACACTCCACAACACTCAGCTGCTTTCATAATGTATTCTCTTGTGAATATCTTTAAATATTAAATGGAAAAAACATCCCCCCCAAACCCAAACCTCTGCTACACAGACACACACACACATGCTGGAGGCAATCACTCTCCACCCGGTAGGCACAAATCCAAATGCAGGCTTTTGTTAAATGGGTTTGTTTGCACATGTGCACATGCAGGCAGATAATCTATCCCTCCACAGGATAGCAGCAATTTCCAAGACTGCCAGCCCCCGTGGTGGGCCCCTGAGCATCTAGGGAATTCAGAGCTGCACACCACAGCTCACTGAAGCCTTGAATCCAGCCAGTCACAGTCTGGCCCAAGCAGGCGAGTCAGCAACCCAGGCCCTTCTTTCATCTAGTCTTCCTCAGCCTCCACCGTGACTCTTCTTGGCCGTGACCTCATCCCGGGCCTCTGACGTTGGCAGAATGAGACGTAACAGAAAACGTGTCATGGTAATTATTAGAGAACTTGGCCCAAAGACATAGCTGGAAGAATTCAGAAAATATCTAAAAGTTTTGGGAAAATTAACAATGTAAAAACCTGACAAATCAAAGATAACCAATATTTTGATTTAGAAACAGACATTTCTTATCTACAAAATGAATACACGAATTAGAAAATGGATAAAAATTCAGAGGTCAAAGTGGTATCAAGTAATCAATTTGTCTCCCTGTCCTGTCCACCCTCATTCCCACTTCCCAGAAGGAAATACTGATCTAAGTTCCTTGTGATTCCTTCTACATATTACCATACACAAGTATATTCATATAT